CACAGGAGAAATCAGCGTGGAAAAACGAGTCGGGGGTATGAAATTTACCTCGATCGGCGGTCGGAAATCTCCCCGGTGCGGCGGCGGGTGGCGGCGGCCGGCGTCTCCGGCGTCTGGTTCGTCTTCTCCGGCGAGGGCAGGCGGCTAGGGTTTTTGTGGTCAGGTGTGGGGGTTCTATTTATACCCTTTTGCCTTTTGATCTCAACCGTCCATTTTGTTTTAATCTATGCCGTCCGTTTTTGATTAAATCTGAACCGTCCGTGCGATTGCATCTGGACCGTCCATATGCACGCATGATCTGGGCCGTCCGATCGCGCGTACATGGCCCGTCCACGGTCGACGTGGTTTTGCCACGTGGCAGGTCCTGGTTGGCCGGGACTGCTGACTGGGTCTGCTAACATGACCCCCTTTTTTTTTTTTCTCTTCAAATTCCCGGGTGTAACAAATAATTTTAAAAAACTAAATAAATAAATAAACTTTTGTCCAACCCTTTCTTATGAAAAATAAGTACAAAGACATGAGGAGATGAGATCCCTTATTGATCAGGGCAGCCCGAGACGGGTCGTTTCAAGAGGATGTCGATTGGCTCTTCGAGATTTTAATGGTACTCATCTCTGCGTAGTAGGCCAGGGAAGAGATGAGGGAACTGTCTGACTCTCCACCACTTCCACACTATGAGCCACCCCTACAACAAGAGGATTTAACGCCACCTCGATGCAATCCTGCTACTCCATTGTATCATCTGATACCATCACAATATAATTCGGAGCCCCCACCGTATCATCCAGCACTATTACAGGGCTACCCAGTCCCTCCCCAACAACATCTGGCCCCTCTTCTACGGGACTCGATTCCACCCATGATGAACCTGATAGAGGTTGATATAAGGGACTTTGATGTGACCCTATGAATGAATTGGTTAGTAGCGTATCACGCCACCGTGGATTATTCCCACAAGAAACTTGTAATTAAGCCTCCTAACGATGAATCATTTACAAGCTAATAAAAAGCTTTGAATATTATTCTCTCTTAGCAAATTCCTTATTATATAGCGTTTTTACTAGGTTGTTTTCTTTAAAATATACAAACTTAAAAAAGAAATTTGTATTTAAGAGATTCCGATAGTTCGAGACTTTCTGGATGTGTTTTCAGATGAACTTTCTAGACCACCAATGGACATAAAAGTTGAGTTCACTATAGACCTTCAGCCTGACACGCAGTCTATCTCAGTTGCCCCTTACTGCATGAGTCGTGTTGAGATGGAAGAGCTGAGGAAACAGATCAATGAATTGCAGGATAATGAGTTCATCCGACATAGTATGTCCTCTTGGGGTGTTGGAGTCACATTTGTAAGGAAGGAAGATGAGATGTTAAGATTATGTATTGACTACAAGAACAAGTATCTCATCCCTAGGATCTATGACCTTTTAATCAGTTACAGGGTGCCCAAGTCTTCTCCAAAATAGACATGCGTTTAAGTTATCATCAAGTAAAGATTAAGGCAGAGAACATTCCCAAAATAGTTTTTCGAACCGGGTACGGACATTATGAGTTCCTGATCATGCCATTTAGACTAACCAACGCACTAGCCATTTTTATGGATTTGATGAATATGACTTTTAGACAATTCTTGGATCAGTTTATCATTGTATTTATCGATGATATCCTGATCTATTTAAAAAGCAAAGATGAACACATTTACCATCTGACTCAGGTTTTGCAAATTCTTAAATAAAAGTTGTATGCAAAGTTGAGTAAGTATAGGTTCTACCTCAAGCAGACTACCTTCCTAGGGCATATCATATTAAGGGATGGAGTGTCAGTGAATCCCGAAAAAGTTGAGGCAGTGCTTAGTTAAAAGAAATTGAACTCGATCAAGGAGATTCGTAGCTTTCTGGGGATGATAAGCTATTACCACAGGTTTATGAAAAAATTTTCTAGCCTAATTGCTCTTTTGACTCGGCTCACAAAGAAGAACGTTAAGTTTGAGTGGAACGTGAACTGTGCAATGAGTTTTTCAGTACTAAAGAAGCGGTTGACCACTGCACCTGTGTTGGCCTTACCGAGTGGGACAAAAGGATATACAGTTTATAGTGATACCCCCTACTTGGGGTTGGATTGTGTTCTGATGCAGCATGAGAAGGTCATGACCTATGGGTTCAGGCAGTTGAAGAGTCGTAAAAAAAACTACTCCACTCATGACTTAAAACTTGTCGCGATCATCCATGCCTTGAAGACTTGGTGCCATTACTTGTATGGGAAGACTTTTTATATTTATACCGACCATAAGAGCTTAAAACATATATTCACTCAAAAGGATCTCAACATGCGTCAGAGATAATGGATAAAAATATCAAGAACTGCGATTGCAACATCTTATATCACCCAAGTAAGGGCAACATAGTAGTCGACATACTCAGTTGAAAAAAATGTTGGAATATTAGTTCACCTAATGGTTTCAGAATATGGGTGATAGGGGCCGCACAACAAGTATGACTTCAGGACCTAAAGAGAGTTACATGCTTGATCCACATGACTGCTCAACCTGAGTTGATTGAGAGAATAAAGGAGCCCAATCCGCCGATTCCACTCTAGCAATCCTCAGGAAAGATGCAAAACATGGAATAAATTTAGAATTTTGAGTATCTACTGATGAGTTGCTTATATTTCAGGACAGGGTGTGTATTTCATGTGACAGTGAGCTAAAAAGGGACATCATAACATAGGCTGATAGCTCAAAGTTTGTCATGCATCTCAGAAGCACTAAAATGTATTAAAGTATGCAACTCTGATTTTGGTGAAACAGGATGAAAAAAGAGGTGACCGACTTTATTTCCAAGTGTTTGGTATGTCAGCAAGTCAAAATAGAGCATCAACGCCCAGACCGGCTATTTCAGCCATTACCAATTATGGAGTAGAAGTGGGAATACATCACAATGGATTTCGTGACAGGATTGCCTAGGGCATGCTCGGGATATGACACCATTTGGGTCATTGTTGACCGGCTCACCAAGTCTTCCCACTTCTTAGGCATCAAGATAACCGACATCTTGGACAAGTTAGCAATAATGTATATTCAGGAGATAGTTAGGTTACATGGAGTGTCAGTGACAGTAGTATCTGACAGAGACCCCAAGTTCACTTTCTAGTTCTAGTATAGTTTTCAGCAAGTCATGGGAACGAAATTATCCCTTAATACTGCATTCTACCCTCAAACTAATAGATAATCAGAAAGGACAATCCGCACACTGGAGGATATGCTCCGAGCTTATGTTCTTGACTTTGGAGGCCATTGGGATTATCATTTACCCCTAATAGAGTTCGTCTACAATAACAGCTACCAAGCAAGTATCGGCATGACTTCGTACGAAACATTTTATAGTCGCCCATGTAAATCGCCGATCTGTTGGAAAGAAGTGGGTGATAGAAAATTGTTCGGTTTAGATCTTATTGAGGAGACTACAGCAAAAATATTTAATATCAGAAAGAACATTCAGACGGCTCAGAGCAGGCAAAAGAGTTATGCGGATACCCGGAGGAGGGATTTGGAATTTGAGAAAGGTGATCGGGTGTTCCTTAAAGTCATTCCTTTCAAGTAAATCAGTAGGTTTGACAAGAGATTTTTTTATTATTTTTTTTCAAATATTTGAATTTTTACAAGATGTATTTATACCGTAAAAATTTACATATAATTCGTTATACGTTTATTTGATTATATGTAATACTATACAAAATGATTGAAGAAATTAGTTAAAAATTGATTTGTTGATTATATGTTAATTCTATAAGTTTTTAATACTATTTTTTAAAATTAACAAAAAATATTTTGTGCACCTTTAACTTAATATAGAGTAAAGTTATAAAACAAAAATTTGTATTGGTGGACTACAAAAATCTTCTATAAACATTGAAACGGCCCCGGAAATTTAAAATGAAATGTGTATTAAAAATATCAAATGCGGAAGCGAAGTCAAAAATTCGATTAACATCCCTTACACTAAAACCAAAAATGTGCTCACAAAATATAAAAAATCAAACTACCTAAAGGAGAAACTTGAAAGTAAAAGCTACGAATATGACTATGGAGTCTTTAGGCGTCCCCTTCGTCGTCCTCCTGCGAAACCGGCTCGGGAACGATGTCCTCTTGATCTGAAATGATTAAATAAGGAATGAGCTACACTAACCCAGTAAAGACATCACGATATCTCACCGTCACGGAGGTAAAGGTGGGTAGAAAACACAAAAAGACCAATGGAGCATAATTTACAACAAATCCTTTTATCAATAATAAAACCTTTACCATTCACTTACCTCAATAGAATTCATAAAACAGTGTACGAAAGCAATAACATCATCATCATCATGAAATCATATATAAACTGTATAACATAATACTTATCAAGCCTTTCGTAATTCAATCGTTACACAACATATTTTCCTCATTTACCAGCCCACTAGTATCCATGGGGATCCATAGGGATCCCGCTACCCGTTAACCCTTAACACTTGAAATCATTTTTCCAGGACCGTCCCCATACTCCGTCCGGTATGGGCGTCAAAACAAATAAGATCTCCATACCCCGTCCGGTATGGGAGACCACAATCCCGGTAGGGTTCCCTACGAACCCGGTCCGTCCACCATCTCCCAGGATATCTAGTCAGGCTGACCACATTATACAATTACCCATTTACATAATCTATCATTCTCTTTTCCCTCAGTCAGCATCATCAATCCACATACAAACAAGCAAAACAATAATTTATGCCAAACAGACAACATACAGCATCAATATCCCGGTCATTCAATCCATAATCAATAAAACAGTAAAATATGCACACGACACTATAAAATGAAAACATCAAACCTCATACTGCATTTTAAGCTGTAAAATAGGCCAAATAATAGTTAACCGACAAACACACTAGACTCGGGCTCCATTAGCGACCTTAAGCAATTTCACACATTCGTTGATTCAAGAAATACCGTTTTATCATTGTTGAACTTTAATACCGTGATAGGAAATAGGGTGAGGGGTCTTTACTCGTTTCAGGGTCCGAACACGGCTTCACAGTGCGCCTACAGGCTGTCTTTAATTTTCCCTGAATTTTTTTCGGGGAACTGAAACGCACTACTGGTACCTGCACGTGTTCCAAAAAATCGCAAATTAGGCCCAGGGCCCCTTTTTGGCCAATATCGCAATTCCGGCACGGCGGCTCCGCCGTGCTCCGACGACGGCGCCGCCGCTTGCGGCGGCGATCCGCCTCGATTTGGTCATTTTCGGTCGTTTCCGGCCGAATTCGGCCACACTTGCATCGATCCTTGCGATAAAACAACCCTAGGGCCCTCGGGGGGGCCAAAAAATTACGAAAAATCGAAGCTTACCGGCGGCGGTGCTCTCGGGTGCGGCGGCTCTTCGGTGAAGTTCGTGTTTTGGTGATTCGGCTCCGATCAAACTGTAGAGAAAAGAATGGTGATCACGGTGATATAAAAATTGCATCAAATGGAGGCCGGGAAGGGCCTCATCGGAGGCAAAAATCGAGAAGGGACGCGGCGGCGCCGCTGGGTTTCGGCCGTGTTTTACGGCCGTTTGGCCGGGATTTTGACTCCGATTTGGCCACAGGAGAAATCAGCGTGGAAAAACGAGTCGGGGGTATGAAATTTACCTCGATCGGCGGTCGGAAATCTCCCCGGTGCGGCGGCGGGTGGCGGCGGCCGGCGTCTCCGGCGTCTGGTTCGTCTTCTCCGGCGAGGG